ATAATAATCTTTATTTTTTTATTAAAAAGTTTTTTAGTCAAAATTAACACTTTTATTTGTTTTAATATTTTAATTATAATAATATAAAATTTAAAACTTAATTTATTAATTTTTAGTTTAATTAGTTTAATTTTAAATAATAATAATTATTATTTTAAATAAATTTTATTTATTATAAGAGTTTTGAAATATTTTTTTATTTATTATTCTAAGTTAATAAATATTTTTATTAAGTTTTTATAAATATAAAATGATTTTTTTTATTTTTGTAAAAATTTTTCATAATCTTTATATTGTATTTTTATTTTTTTTTATTAAAACTTTATTACTAATAAAAAAATTTTGTTAATAATTATTTTGTTAATAAAATTTTTTGCTTTTATCAAAATTTTTAAATATTTTGTTGATCTAATATTCTATCAATTTCTAATTATTCATTACAAACTCTTTTTATTATTTTATTTATAATAGTTTTTTATTCATTTTTTAATAATTGAAATTTGAAATCTAATAAATAATAACTAATTATTTATATTTGAGATAAATAATATAAACTTTATTATATTATTTTATATACAAAAAAAGTAAAAATTTTATTTGTTTTAATATAATTAAACAAATTTTGTTATTATTTTACATAAATTATATTTAATCTTTTAATTAATTTATTAATTTACAAATAATATAATAATATTTTATTTAATAATTCTGATATAATATATATTTAATTAATTTATTTTTAAAAATAATTTTATAATTAAATATTAATTCTTTTAAAAATTTATATTAACAAATAATATTTTTATATAAAAATATAATAATTATTATAATATCAATTTTAGATATTAATTTGTTTTTAATTTATTTGATATTATAATTAGTAATAAATATTATATATTTATTTTAAATATAGTTAAATATTTCTAAAATTATATTTATTTATAATCATATCTTTTTATAGTTACTTTATTTTGTCTATCTATTTATATATAAATATAATAAAAATTTCTCTATAATTATTTAATTTTGCTTTTTTGAAAATAATAATTATAAAGAAATTTAATTGTACTAGTAAATAATAATAGTTCAATTAAGTCTATCAATTTTTTCAAATAATAATCCAGTTTTAATTGAATATAATAAATTATTTTTCTTTATTTTATTCTTTTATTAATATATATTACAAGTTTTAATATAGTTTTGATATGCTAGTGCATTATAAACCAATAATAATTTAATATTAAGTTAAAATATTCAAAGTGAATTACTAAATGTTTATTAAATAATATTTTTTTTACTTTTATAAGTCTAATTACTTTAAGTATTTGGAATTTTTTTATTTTGTTTAACAATATTTGATTTTTAATAAGACAATGTATAATTTTATTTTTAAGTTTTGTTGCTCTTTTAAATACAAATTGTAGTGAGTTCAAATAATTAATAAGTTAATAATATTCAATTAATTCATTATATCAAATAGATTTTCCAAAATTAATTGTTTAATTAATGTAAGAGTTGTTTTGTTTAAATTAAATTATTTGTTGATTTAAGTTTAATCTTGTTGAAATGTTTTAAGAGTAAATTAATATTTGAATATATGATATTTAATATTATAGGTATAATTTCATAAAATTATTATTCATTTTGCAAGTTTATTAGATAATTGTGATTTGTTAAATAAATCTTTTAAAGTATTATAATCAGTAATTATTATAAATAAAATATTGAATTGAAGGTATAATTTAAAATGTTGAATAATCCATATAACAACTAAACATTCTAATTTCATGATAAAGTAATTTTTTTCATTTTGATATGCTCTTTTACTAGTATATGTGATGACATGTTCTTTTTATCATCATTTTTCGAGTGAGTATTGCATCTAGTCCAAAGCTAGAGATATCAAAATTTGGATATATCAAAATTGATAATGACATCAGATTTTGTTTCGGTTGTTCAAATGCTTGTTGATATTTATCAGTCCAGTGAAATAGTTCTTTTCTCATTAGATGATATAGCAGTGTAGCAATTTTCGCAAAATCTTTTATTATTTTTATTTGTAATTCTGAATATATCATTATCGAGGACTGAATGCTGAGTATTAGTATTGCATGATTGGATTTTGAGTTATTTATTTTGTCTGTCTCATTTAGCGCAATGATTGCATATGGAACTGTTGCTATATTATTTCCTCGTTGCCGTACAAATTCAGCGATTAATTTGGTCTTTCTACACTGAGAGCATGTTTTACTTTCTTCAACGCTATGAATGTCTATGAAATTTTAATGTAAAGTTTAGGATTCGAAAGTTTACACAAACTGCTTCCAAGTAAAAATGTTAACTAATCATTGATAATGTTGTTCAGAACAGACATTTTTTCTTCGAGACTTGATTTTCTGAATATTGTTTAAATGGGATTTTTAGCAGCTATTTTTATAAACTAAAATTACTTTTTTTAATAAAGACGCGTAGGATCGATTACTATCAATCAATAACTCGGAAATTATATAATCAGGTGGGCTTTCTTGTTTCATTTATAAAGACGCGCGTTACGATATGCTGTATCCAGTAGGATCAATCCGCTGAATAATTCGAAAACTGTATAATCAGGTGGGTTCTGTGTATCTCCTGCTGATTTCGTTTAATATGATAATTTTAATAATGATAATTAGTAATCCAATTTCCTTTGATGTCACAATGAGGATTAAGAATAGGCAAGTTTATTTTACTTTATGATCAATTAATGTGGCGGATTAAATGAAATCAGATTAAAATGAAACAGAGTGGGATGTTTAAATAATCATAGGTCAATATATTACCGAGTTTAATGCTATTCACCATGCTCTAACCTAACCCTATCCCTTCTTAGAAATTTTTATCCCATAAAAAAAGAGCCAAATTTTATTTTGATTTGATTTTAGTATAATCTGATTTCATTTTCATTTTAATCTGTCACAATTAATACTTTGTAGTTTCTTCGTGAACTACTTAATTGATATAGCTTTTTAATATAAAGCATGTATTTTCACGAGTATTCTCTTAATAAATGATTTATTTCAAATGAATGGTTTAAATAAGAAACGTGATCCATTTTTATCGGCTCTCACAACTCTCACGGCTCCAGATCAGCTCGCTGAGCACAAGCCGGAACCATTTGTGAGCAGTTCTTTATTAACCAAACCACAAAAATTGCTCGGTTAACCATCCGGCTCGCGGTTTGGCCCGAGCCATTTGCATCACTAAGAGGCGTGACAAATATTAGCTAATATCCCCAGAATATTAGCTAATATTTGTCACTCCCCTAATTTAAATAGAAAGAACAATAGCTAGGCCACAATCAAAGAACGTAAGCGCATCTTTCAATGCCAAGGGAGAATCAAAACAGAAACAGAGCTATGCCGATATTCGTGTTTATCTTACCAATTGGCCTTTATTTTTATTCATAGTATCAGATTAACGACTTATTTAGATAAAATCATTTCTCTCTGACATGAAGAAAACTATTGCTTATGCTTTTTATTCGAGCCAACCCGTTGATTTATCATTTAATTGTTCGATTTTGAAAATCCGAATAAATCCGAATAAATTCTCCGAATTCTGATAAGTTAAAATTTCAATATTGTCTAGCGAGTCAGCATAAATTCTGAAATTTGATGCCAATCTGTCTAGAAATTTACGATTTTGGCCGTATTTTAAATAAATTAAGCGAAATTCACTATTCACAATTATAAAACATACTGAGCATGTAAATTAGCGGAAATTACCGATTGACTTTTAACACATCCATCTTGTTTTGCAACAATGTGAAGAAAAAGTATAATAGTTTTGTGACGAAAAATGCGAAAATTTCATAGAGAAATCAACCAAAAAATAGCGCACAAGCATTAAATTAACTGAAAATTTTAAATTTAGTCAAGTTCGGTAGATCAGCGCGTAAATTCTCTAATTTCAGACATGACAATTCGAATTCACGAGATTTAGTATATCAAATTTCAAAAATTTAGAATTGTGCTGTATTTTTATTTTTTAAGTAGTAATTGTGTTTTAGATGTCGTTGATTAAAGAGGATTACTATATCGTATATCGTACTAGGCATTAAATAAAATATAATTAAGAGAATAATAGAAAGAATTAAGATTAAAAAAGATTAGAGGAAAAAAGTAATTTTAAGAGAGGAGGAGGAAAAAACAATAATAGTGGTAGTGAAGATAAATATCCCATCAATTATTATTAATTATTAAGGTGAGTAGATTTTTCATCCCATCCTTTCATCGATCCACCTGCAAAGAAACACGCACAAAATTCAATTACATGTAAATAAAAAACATATTCGATGTGTTGGAGTGTGTATGTCGTCGCGTACAAAAAAAACAGATGGGAATTAAAATTAAGTAAATTTTACTAGAAAATCAGAAAAAAAGGGTGATACAATAAAAAAATACAAGAGAAAAAGTGAACAGATAAAAAAGGGAGAGATAATAAATAATAGTGATAATAATGAAAACAAAAATTTATACAATTAAAAAAGAATACAAAAAATCAAAAGTGGATGTTTTGCATCTCTTTTTAGTCATTGTCCTTTTAGAATAATTATTATCGTCATCTTCGCTGTCGTGAAAAAGCAGAATTATATTAAATGAATCATTTAAACTCGTAATCTGCTTCTCTGCGTTGATTTCCTTTTTCACAGAAAATCATTATTTCTGGGATTTTTGTTGATTTGTGCACAGTGTTTTTTGTTGATAAATGTTGAATAATAATAACAATGATAATAGTAACAATAATAAATAAATAAACTAAAGAATAGAATCCGAATCAACTAATTCGAAGTAGAGGGGGTAAGTGCCAGCTTCCCAATATTTTTCTCTTTTGATGGCACCAAGTCTTCTCTCCAATCGCGTTATAGTTATCATCATTATCCTCCCGTTATCAAATGTTACAATAACTATTGTTCGTGTTATCAATGCTACAACAATTATTACGGGTTAAATAAAAAGCTTTTAATAAGTTCCGAAATGTGCACCGTACATATTCAGACTATTCATTGGTAACATTGTAGTTTGAGAATAAATATTCGATAGTGAATTGTGCTCTGATGGAGGTGAAGCATCAGGTGAATGAGGTGAAGGAGCTCCAATAATATTATCTCGATGATGTGACTGATTATGAGGACTGTTTCCTCTACTGCTATTATTATGTACATCATTGATTTTTGATGAATTTGTTGAAATTAAATCATTCGTATTTACATTGTTGTTATTATTATTATTATTATTATTATTATGATGATGATGATGGATATTATTATTATTATTATTATTATGAATATTGTTATCAACAAATGTAGCGGAAGGACTTAATGCTATTGTTGGCGTTGGTGATGGTTGTTGTTGTTGTTGCTGCTGTTGTAATTGAGGTGATGATTGAGATTGGGATTGTTGTTGATGTAAGTGGGGTGATTGTAATTGAGGTGAGTGTTGCTGTGATGCTGATGATTGATGATGATTATGATGATGATGGGAAGGGGAGTAAAGTATTGGAGAATGATTAGAAGTGGTAGGTAAGAAATTATACGAACTAAGAGGATCTTGTATCATTACAGTAGATGCTGTTGTCGGTGTATTCCATGAATCGTTGAAACCTGTAGATGCAGAAGTAGCAGCAGATGTTGATCCGGCGGTCATGATTGATCCGGCGAAACCACCAAAATTATGCGGATGATGCGGATGAGACGGTGATGTTATGATAGAAGATGGGACAGTAGTTGAAGTTATCGGACTATGCGTGTGATGACTTTGATTTTTGTTATAATGAGAACCATTTGCGTATAATCCACTATAAGATATTGATGCGGTTCCAATTGTATTTTCATTTTTTATTGTTGCTCCTGATTCGGTTGTTAAATCGACATTGGTTGCTGCAGGATCCGTTCGTATACGTTTCCTTTGATGAATAATGTAATTTGTGGAAGACGATGCCGACGAATCAGTCGTTGAAAATCCCTGTTGATTACTAAAATTACGTAATGCATTATCCAATAAAGTGTTCCCTAACGACATAAATATAAGTTAACGACGAATATATTAGAAAAAAAAATCAGATTACGATTAATGAATCATGATATGAAAGTGCAATAATACCATCGGGGTACGAAGCAGTAACCAATTGAGTTAATGCCACGAGATGATTCTGATGTTTGCTTAGATCATCAGCCAGACGTTTCACTTCCGGGAGTAATCGATCAGCAACAAAACTGTGCATGTCTTTCATTTCTTGACGTAGGTTATCGGTGGTGGCCGTTAGCGCGATAATTTTGTCGTGCATTAGCAAATCCGCCTCACTGTTATTATTGCTGCCGCCATCACTTGGAATGTAATCTTTTCCAGCATCGGAAGAAGAACGTACTAAAAAACGATTAAGAGTAACATCGGTGGGTGATGTCAAATTACTATTATTGTTGTCCGATTTGTCATCGGGAAAACTACGTTTTAAACTGGTTGACGTTGTTGTTTCGTATCCGTCCACCGGAGATGTAGCCATACTATTATTGTTATTTCCCACTATTGAAGATGAAGATGACTCGGTTGGTCTCACTCTCTTTTTATGCGGTTTTGATACTTTGCGTTTGATGTTCGTTAACAGGTCTTGTCGATTACGACGGAATTGTGGGTGTGAAAATACACACGCATGTTTACTACGAACATGTTTCGATTTACGTGCATCTGATACTCGATAGAATCCATAAATCTGTTATTCATAAGATTATTAGCAATCATCGAATTGAATTCATTAGTCGATCAAGTGGATTGAGCAATAAAAAAAAGCTTACATTCAATTGCCTAACAAAAGACGTAAATTTACAATGCTTAAAAAATTTTGGTAATACGTTGGCTGCAAATTCATCCATATTACATATCACAAACACGTCACCCGTCTCATTCCACGTAAGATATTCTTTGTATTCGTCGCTATCCAGCAGTCTATTTATTAAAAAAATTATAACCTGGTTAATCTACTAATGCGGGTAAAGTTATCATTAATTTCTTTGTGTGGCACCGAAATGCACGTACACGCATAATAATACTGTACACGTAAATCAAAGACAAATAAAAATCGATTCGTGTAATTATCACTTACTGATAGAGTTTCGCGACGAAAACCGACACAGTATCAAGATCGTACTTCCCACCTTCATCCGGCAAGCCGTCCACTTCTGCACTAACAGGTGATGTGCCTGCAGCATTAGAAGTTGTTGCTACCGATGTTGATGTTAAATGAGAGTTTGGGTCGTAAACATCATAGGTTGGTAAAAGTAATTGCAATCCTGCTGTCGCTCCCATCCCTGCTGCCGATAATGGATCATTTGAGTTCATGTTTGTGGTATGTTTATTATTCCTTATGATTTATATATTGTTAATTTGTTATCGTTCTTTTTGGATTTATTTTTTTTTTTGACTTTTTGCAATTTTTGATTGATTTTCGAATTGTGAAGATTTCCTTTGATTTTGTGCTCTTCTTCTGTTTCTACTTCTGTCTGTCGTTGTTCCCTTCGATGATTTTTTTTTAATTTTTTTTTCTTTGATTTTATAGTATGTTGTCGAACTTGGAATTGAAATTGAAATTGATGTTCGCGTATTAGTTTCGTTTTTGTGCTATTAATTTTGAGAAAATAAATGTACAATAATACTAAATATCAAGATAGTGATATCAATGAGAGAGAATAAGAAAGAAAAAAAAAACAGAGTTGCTTTTTCTGGCAAGAAAGAAAAGAATATTCTTTATATCAAGACAAGGGACCAAGAACCTAAGGTAAAGGGACCAATGGTCGTGGTAATAGAAATATAGAAATGTAACTTGAGGTAAAAGGTAAACAAAAGTTGCTCGTTATATAAATACTTTCGCGCGTGGCGGCTGTGTGTTTCTTGTTTTCGGACGTGACGTGACGTAACGTGTCGTGGTGTTTTTTGTTTAATTTAATTTAATTTAATTAATTTTTTGTCAGGTATGCGTATGTAAGTGTCGTAGTTTTATATTAAATTGCAACTTGAAAAAAAGTATGTTCGTTTCTACTTCTTTTCTTGTAGTATGCGACCGTGTATATATATTTTTATACGTCGTGTAGATAATATATGTATATTAAGTATACCATATATTGTTGCGTTGGAAGGAAACACACAGACCACCCACAGCAGCAACGGCAGAAGTAGATTCGGCACAAAAGAAACAGAAGAAGAGGAAATATAAAAAAAACTGATTAAAAAAATAGTATAAATAAATATAGTGTTTATGTATGTATGCACATATGTGTGTATATATATATATTTTTATATATAAATGTTTATATATATATATATAAATATATGTATATACACTATAAACAATGTTGTTAGACTAACTATGCAGTTTAGCGAAACCACGAGAGAGAATGACAACAACAACAAAGCATAACACAAGAAGCGAAAATATGCAGAGTAGTAAAGTAATAAAAATTTGAAATGGGTTAAAAATTAAAGTCTTGATATTATTACGTGTGTGTGTGTGTGTGTGTGTGTATACGGATGTATGCGTGCGTGCGTGTGTATGTAAGTGTTGTTGCAAGCCGAAGAAACATCAAAAACAAAAAACCTTGTTGTTGTTGTTGCTGCTGTTATTTGTTATTTCCATTTATCATTTATTTTATTACTGTTAGACTATGTTTTGTTGTTGCTATTTCTCTCTCTCTTGTGGTGAACTTTGTGTATATTAGGTTGGTAAAGGTATGAAAAATTTTCGAGAAATTAAAAGAAGCAAAGTTCGGCATTTATTTATTCTATTTTTATCAATCAAAAGTGATGGTGTTCAACAGGAAATATAGGGTCGCACCCTTACTTCCTTTAAACATATTAGGGTCTCTTTTGGTAAATTGAAGTCACCGTCCATAATTATCGAGGATCGTATATACACTACCGGATGCATAACTAAAGTGAAAAAAAAAATTGTTGTCTTTTGTTGATATCGCCGAAACTAGATTTGGGGTTCAAGAGAGAACGTAGATTTCGTCAGTTAATTCATCTAACGCTCGAGAATTATTAATTATCTCTGTATCAGAGAGAAATGGTCTGATTTGTGTTCCGTAAAATGTGAAATGCAGTAATGATGAACGAAAATATTTTGGCGATGATGAAAATCCCATTATTTTACTCCGTTTCCTGCCTCGCACTGAAATCTCGACGATGAAAATATTTCAATTTTCGCATCACCTGACTTCTATTGTTGTTCCAAAGCAAGCCCATAATTGAAGTTCCGTTCTTGATATGGCCCCAAATCAACACATCCCCTTTCTTTCACATATCCGTAAAATGAAATAAATAAGGTAATTACATAGTAACATAATAAATCAAATATGACAACACGCTTTTTTTTTGCATTTTGAATCTTGTATTTCCTAACGCTAATTTTACATCTATCACGCACTCATGCACGCGTGCATCTTGCTCTTTTGTTGTGGCAAGACTTTTCATTTCATTTAACTTAATTTCACGCATAACAAATAACGATAAAATACAAAATACATCCATTCTACGTAACTGTACCTCCATACATCCATTGCTGCTTTATTTATACATGATAAACAAGTGATTAAGGTATCAAATAATTAAATATCTTATTATGATATTCTTCTACTTCTTGGCTGCATTAACATACAATAGAAAAGTAACTTTCCAAAAAAAAAAATTGATTCCTCATCACAAACAATTAATTAAATGCGAAATTTCTTAGCAAAACAATTATGCACGCACAAACACATCATATTAACATGCACATACACAAATTTGAGATATTTCACAGTAAACAAAGTTTACCGTTACCAATGCACAATTCTTTCGTAATATATCGATGTGCGTAGATACAAGAAATCATCACCATTACATTCGATCAAGTACAACAGCAAGTAAATTGAATTCACAAACCGACTGTCTTACTTTGATGATATTCATGTACATATGCACGGCGTCTCGGGCATCATGATACTCGGTTAGAATAAGTAATAAAATGTCTCTGTCACAGAGTATTATTGTTGTTATTATTATTATTATTATTGTTATTATTATTATTGTTATTGATATTGTTATTATTATGATTTATTATGATTTATTATGATTATTATGATTATATTTATTTATTATGCTAAGTGTAGTCGCGTTCTAAGATTATGATTATATTTATTATTATTATTTAATGTTTTATTAGAAAATGCACAAATCGACAATGAATGCATTTAATTTTATGTAGGAACGCACATACATATCGATATATCAGGCAGATACCATACAAATGAGAATTTAAGACGAATTCGAAATAAGAGGCAGGGATTCGTCTATCAATCAAGAGAGATATGATAAGGAATTCGTATTCAAAATTGATGGGTCTAACCGTTAACAGAAAGTATAAAATTACCCCTTATGTTCCACGTTTATACATAAAATATGTTGGTTAATTTGATATAAGATGTTGGGAACGCGCCCAACCAAGTGTATACTACTAGTTCATACCATTTGTGGTGTAATAGTAAATTATCATTACATGTGTGTTGTTTGAACTTCCAAGTATGGCAAAATTATCGAAATTATAAAATGAACAATTTGCCTAATCCAGGTGTATACTCCGATCCACACGTATTATAATTTGCATTGTCTCGGCGTTCATAAACAAAGGAAAGAGATTATCAATTATGAAGGTCGGAGTGCCTTGTGATTTTGAGATTTCATTCAGTAGTAGTTAGCATCCTCGGAGTTGTAGTTTCAACGTTTGATGCTGAATAATGAATGCTAAAAATAATAGTAAACAAGCTTTTGAAACAAAAGGAGATATTTCTTTATTTAGTTTAGATTCGCGTCGAGTATGTCACCTAATTTGACTATTCCCTCAAGAGTTAATGCTAAATCTGAGTATTAGGCACAAGCGATTATGATGTCGACGACATCAATAATGCACACGCGCGTCTTCAAACTTTGGTTGACTTTCACATTTTTTTATCTCTGTGATCGTCTGAACAAGTCGGAGTCACAAACAGTTTAACTTGCAGGCATATTTTACTGTATTAATAATATCCGAATATATGCTTACTACAAATCTATTATGATGATGATGATGATGATGATGATGATGATCACTAATAAACACAACATCTAATTAACTGCCAAGTTTCATTTTCGTTTTAATAAAAATTGACTTTGTTAAGTTATTGCCAAGCTGCTCAAACATTTATCAAATCTTCCTCGTGGGATTCTTCAACATTTATCAGAGCATTTATTTTCAATTCAGTACGTCGTGCACACACACACGACATGGTATCCTGTACTGGTACATTTACATCGACTGAATGAAGTTAATCAACAAACAGAGTTGAAAGTAATCCGGAAAAATATTTTTGTATGTCGATGTATGTGAAAGCACATCTAGATTTATGGCATGTAGGCGAGTTAGCCAAGAACAAGTAAGTTAGTTTAGCGAACAAAAAGATGATCGGTTTATTTGTTTATTTTCTCTTGGTGTTGTGGTTATTTGCAGCATGCATCTATCTTTCATATTAGATTGAAAGCGATTTTGATAAGTATCGATATAATACACTATCCAAAAAAATCCAAAAAAATCATGCGGTAAAAATTTTTGCATTTGCATTTAAACTATGTTCGAGTTCCCAATCAAAAATCTAGCCAAGATCTACCGAATCACCTGTGCGTGCTAAACACCACATTTACATATACTTGCTCAATCAATTATCACACTACAACATTAACTAGCCAAGAATCCTGAAAAATTGAAGGGGTATGGCAAATTCTCGCATCACTTGATCACAAATAAAAATGCTAGCACTAACTATCTTTCATATTGTGTCCTACTCATACAGGAAGAAAACGGGACCTTTAGTCCATCAATAGAACTTACTGTTACGACTAGTTTGCAGTTAAAAGTATCCACCACGCTTAGTAAAATCGATAACGATAGGGATATCAGGTGTTATATCACCGGAGCTTTAAATTAGCCCAACAAATGTCAATAGGATTACTCTAATTACCTAATAAAGCTAAACAAATAAATTCGATGATTAATTACTCTTTACTATGCTAAAACCAATTCATCAATAAAAAAGTCTCCTTCACACATTTAGGTATTTTTATTTTTTATTTTTTTTTTGGTGACCTGGAGCTTGCGATAGTAATGCCGAAAAATTGGTTTAACCGTCAAAATACCTAGTATAGGTTTTTCCACGTGCAAATTAAAGATTTACGAGATTCTGCAAGCAAACTTTTTATTACGTATAATATTAATATTTAGAGTAAATGGAAAGATGACGATTCAGCAGGTATTGATTAATAATCAAAAATACATCTTCATAGTAAACTTATAATAGGAACTGTGTGATATAACTCATACATATCAGCTGTATTTGCTTGATGAGGATTTTGAAGTTCGTTCATCATTCACGTTCACCTAAAAAAATAGTGATTTTTAGGATTAAATGAACATGATAAATAAAAAATAAAATAAACTGGATTTTCCTCTGGATTAACTAAATTAACTAAATAAACTTTTGGAAAACACAAAAAATGTCAATTTAGGCGATCAAACGTTTTTCTGACGACTCTAATATTGATCAAAGCTAAAACGTGGTTCCTAATATATTATCTGCGTTGAGTTCAGCTGAGATTTTTGTAAAATTAGTGCCCCCAAAAAAAGAACGAAGCGGAGAAATACTTTTTCACGTTTGTATTTAATGGAACATATTGACAGTTGGAAAAAACATGCAGATTAATGAAGATGAGTTCACAACGGATGAGAGTTCACGCAGTTGGGGCAAAAATGTCAAAAAGCTGTTTTTTATAGACCGTTTTGGACCTTCGGTCCGTTATATCGAGGTTCATTGTGTACTCATTTTTATGTCAGAATTCATTATTCTTTCTGCAATTGATTTATTGACTTTATTATTCATTTCCATATCGCCTCGCCTTAAAGCTATATATACATCACATTTTTTTTTATCTTAAGTGCAGAGACGTGTTTTGCTTAAAGATAATATATACATAGTTACAACATTTTTCGATACAAAATCTTTCCACAAAAATTCATTGAAGTTGAAAATGCTGAGTGTTAATAGCGTCTACATGTAATTCAAAATCAATAAATGCAGCAAAATAATTAAAGAATTAATGCAATTGAGTATCGCATTCTTCACATTGCCATACGAATCCTCTAGAATATTTTCAAAAAAAAAAATGCAAGAAATTAGCCAACAAATTAATACCAAGAACATCTCGTTTTCTTACTTACGGTGATGGCATAGTCTTTCTCGGGGGGTTGATACAAGCCAAATGGAACCATTTTTCGCAAAATCCGCAGCGAATCATACGGTGTACTTTATCTCGACCATTCAAGATGCTTTTGGCTCGCGATTTAGTAGGTGTGACATACGACTCGGGAGCTTGGTCATTTAATGGGGGTTCAATTTTATCGCAGACTGTACAAATTGGTTGAGGCAGTTTTACCTTTATCGGTTTCTGTTGTGGTTTTTTTGTTGGCCGTCCTATAAGTTTTCTATTTTTTAAGGGTCTGCCAACTTTAGTAATTCGTCTGCCTCTTTTAATCATTTTCTGGGGTCTTTCTACCTCAATAACCTCATTAGTCTCTTCCGCGTCACTAAGTTCATTATCGGAAGCACTAGAAGTTTGTTCTCGTGTCACTGTATCAAATTTGCGTTTTACATGCTGGGTCGAAGTTGTTGCTGTTCTTGTTGATGTTGCGGGCGTAGCTGCTGTTGATGTAGCTGCTGTTGACGTAGCTGCTGTTGATGTAGCTGATGTTGGTGTCACTGAGCTTGCCACTGAATTTGCTACCGGAGTGTCTGGGGTGAGAGATTTGGGCGTGGCCGCAGGAATAGTTGCAGGTGTAAGAGAAGTGGAGGACAAAGTGGAAGAATGAGCGTATGGACTATGATTATTATTGATGTGATTATTATTACTACTACTATTGCTATTATTATTATTATAGGTCAATATTGGTGGAGAAGGAGATACGTGACGAGGGGGCGGCGGAGACGGTGAAATGTGGTAGGGAATTTGATTACTATATGCAAATGGTCGTGAGGATGGAGAAACTGGAGCAGAACGAGCTGGCGGAGAGTTATAACGATTTTGATTGTTGCTTTTGTAGCTATTGTTATTATATGAATATGGTGATGAAATTGAAGAAACTGGAGGAGAGTTTCGAGGATAAGGAATTTGGTTATTATGAGGTAATGTTTGCGATGACGTAGACGCAGCAGATGTATGTGTATAAGGAATATGCATAATGTTATTCACATTGTTAATGTTATTGTTATTGTTATTAGATGATAATGTTTGTGAAGAAATATCCGGAATAATTCGATTGAGCGTTACTGGGGGTGGTAGATGCGTCTGAGGTTGTAACTGAGGTAATTGCGGTTGATGATGATGATGTTGTTGATGTTGATGTTGATGTTGATTGTAATTCATTTGATGATTGTTTAGATGGAATTGTGGATATTGAATTGGTCGCGGCTGCCATTCATTGCCATTTAATATTGGCGCCAGTGAAGAGGATGACGACGGCGATGATGATGGATGTAAATGGGAGATTGGACCATGGTGGTTATTATGGTACATATGGCTGTTATTATGGGAATTTTCGTATAGATTTTGTTGCTGTTTCTGTTGCTGCGATTTTTGATATTCATTTTCACGTTGATCTTTCAGCACTAATCTGTGATTTTCAAAAACGATCCGTTGAAATACGAATTCTGGTTGTTTGCCATTAATTATCTCAGGCGGTGGTTTTCTGAACATAATTTGATTAGGATGAGATGGAGGTGATGGTGAAGGTGATGGTGATGGTGATGGTGGTGAATTCTTATTTTCATTTTCATCATCTTGAATTATTTCGATATCAGTATTCTCCTCGGCATTTTCGATTTCATGATTTCTTTTACCACTCTCCCCAGCCTTTTCGGTTTCATGATTAATTTCAATCGTCTCCTCCATGTCTATGTCCATGTTTTCGTTTTCACGATTGATTTCAATGGTATCCTCCGTGCGTTCATGTTCATTTTCATGATTCATTTCAATATTCTTCTCGATATTTTCATTTTCGTGTTGCGCTTGAATAACAGAATCCTTCGTCGCGGATGTTTCTTCTTTGTCATCGCTATGATCTTCCTCGAATTCCATGTTCTCATGCTCTTGAGATTGTTCTTCGTCATCATTCTGTGCTTCCTCGGCTTGCTGCTGCTCTTCGAGAAGTTGTTGTTCTTCCTCTAATTTTCTCTGTTGCTCTTCCAGTTCTTTTTGTTTTTTAGATTTACGCCCTTTCTTTTTAGGGGGTGGTTTTGTAGAAGATCCAACATCCGACGATGTCTTTGGTTCAGGCGTGACGACATTCGCAGACTTTTCATCCGCGACTTTTTTCGATCTACGACCAACCTTTCTCGTCCGTCTACCCGTTGATTGTCTTCCCCTCCTTCTAGGAGTAGTAGTCTGAGGAACCACTAGAGGTTTGACTCCTATCGGGGTCATGGAACTAGTGTCTAGATTCTCAACATCAATGCTTCTGGCAATGATCGCGGCTTTAGGTTCCCAAACTACGGGTCGCGATAAAAGATCGTTGAATTGATCTACCGTGTCCCGTTCTCGATTGGCATTGCTTTCGGCCCAATTCAATTGCATCGGAAAAGCATAGATTAATCGTGAACAAAGCTGCAGACTTTCTCGTACCGAACTGAGATAATTTTGAAGAGCCTCTTGTTCTTTTCGCGCTTCCTCGATTTTTGCATCATGTTCAGACTCGGCGGATTTCGCTTTTTCTTTTTGCTCCTTTAGAATGTTGACGACCGAGGTAGCTTCGGCGACTCTTCGCCTACTCGAAGCGATTCGCGTTTCACGACGTTTTCGATATCCCACATACTTGTCTTCAAATAATTCGCGTAAGCTCGCGCCAAAATCATCATCTACGCTTGCCATTTTTTGTGCACGCGAGAAGTTCTCCTTGCTTCTTATTTTCTCGAGAAACTTGTCTCGACGTCGATACCATTTTTCCCAGTCATTTAGTTTAGCGGGACCATGTGATCCGTGACTCTGGCAATACTAGAAGAAATACACGATGGTTCAACCAAATATCATAGATGAAGAAATCCATAAATAAACAGGGGATAGGCAATACCACAAAATACGGATCCGATATGTTTGGATCATCGTCTATGCATTCAAGTAAAGTCATCGAGTGTGCGCACGTAACATGCAAGAAATTTTTGCATCCCCCTGCATCACAATGTATCGTTGCGCCTTCACTTGCTATCTCGGTTGGACACACGGAGCAAATCTAAAAACAGAGAGAATCATTGTTGAAATCACAAAGAACCGTTTTTTAGGCATACCGTAGCAGCAAAAATTACGTACCTTTGACCAATTTTTTTGGTCGACATTCTCGATTGTGATGTTAGTGATTTCAATATTGTTGCCGACCCACATGCCTGGCATCCACAGAGCACACACAATGTGAACCCATCCACCAGATCTCTCGCCCTCTTTAAGCCGACGAAATGCACCATTTTTATTTGGACAGAGTATACATGACTACGATAAACATCGTGGAGAGATGGAGAATTTCAGAAAATGGGTGATTTCTATAATGAAACATTCATTCTAGTCAAGCAAACATACCACACTTTCTGGTGCGGAAGCCAAGCAACGATCACAATACCACGGCTCGTCGGAACCAGGCAGGTTAATTATTCCGTAGCATTCTAAGAATGAATAAACATTACCAAAAAAAGTTCGAAAAGTAACGGTAATATTTTTTTATACCTTGATGACACACTACTTCGCATTCATCTCCATCACAATACACCAACATGTTGCTTTCCGTAGTTGCACCCTCGAGACAGATGCAACATATTCCAGGATCCTCGAGTTTCTTTGTAAAATAAAAATCAAATCAGCAAAAGAATCGAAAAATTCCTTATTCTATCATATCTAACGAAAAATCATATCGTATCGAACGAAAAAACAACACCAAAACGAAAAAGAGTTATCCATAAATATATGCGTAGTACATACCCATTTTTTCAAAAAATTCTTCACCAAGACATCGGTGTCTTCGGGATCGATAGTTTCAGAATCGTTCGACCCCCGCACTTTAGCCCTCGAAGCGGTTTCGGTTTCTGTTTCGATATCAACCTCGACGTCCTGACCCGAATTGTTGCCGCTGACAATTGTCGCCGAATCGGTGTCGTATTGCTCGGTTTCTTTTTCGCTAGCTTGATACTCGGAGTCGTCGTCTGCTGTGGCATCTAAAGCAATCTGGTCGATTGCCTTCATTTTGATTTTTCTTTTATTCGGACCTCGGTCAGCGACTATGAAAACCATAAATAAAAAAAATAAATTAACCAAAAATAGAAAAAATTTTATTTATTTACTTTTTTATATATATATATATTATTTATTTATATATTTATGGGATTCGAAAATAATATGCGACCGAAAAATATATCAAAAAGAAAAAGAAAACGAGGAAAAAAAAGAAATTTGACACGCGAAACATTTATTTATTTTATAAAGGAATAGTGTTGTTTACGTACATATTTTGTGATACAATGAGTCGACTTCGTCATTCAGGTCCGTCGTTGTCGAATGGGTAGGTGGAAATGTTGGCGACGAAGTGGTCAGTGGTGTACTACTAGTCGTTGCGGACTCGCTCGAGTCCTGTAACGTATTTAGGGAGGAGGACGGTGACATTTTTCAGGTGGTTGGATGGAAAAAGACACTTTTTTCAAAATAGAAATGAATTTTCTGGGTCGTGCGCAGTATTTGTATATAAAATATTTTGCGAGTGGAAAAGTCAGTCAGTCGAGATGGATGAACGAAATACCCAAAACATTTATGAGGCGAATGATTGGCTGAGGGATACGTTCCTAAGATGATGACGTGCGTCCAAAGTGCCAAAAATGGCTAAAAGAGAAAGAGAGAGTAGAAGAATGGGATATTTTTCCTTTACCTGAATTCTACTTAGACTTTTTTCGGTGTCTTTTTACAATAGAAATAGCGAATTAGTAATTATTGAAATGACAGTAATGCCTAAAAAGAATGGAGCGAGTTGAGTTTTAATGAAGTGATGGCACAAGGGCAGCTGACCAATTAGAATCAAGCTTTTGTATGTCCGTAAAATTGATTGTCCTTTTTGATGCCGACTGATAATGATAATTGTAAATTTAATTAGTTCTAATTAATAATGATAATAAGGATGACGATGATGACGAATAACGAGAAAGAGCGAATTCCACAGAATTGGCCTAAAGAAATCAAATATTTGAAAGAAAACATTTTTTCCCCCAATAGTTTATCAAAAAACATCAAGAACCACTTCAGTGATCAAAATCTAATCAAACAATACCCAAATCATCCATTCACTTCCTCCCCTTTACCTCCAATCGTATTTGCACTACCTTCGCAACCAAGCCCCGCGGTGAAAATAATCTCACTTTCGAATGCAAATCACCCCGCGGCACCTGGGCGTGGATTATTCGCAAAAAAAGATTTACGAGAGCGAGAATTGATTGTATGCTATACAGGGAAAGTGACCAGTCGAAGTAAGACCAATGACAATGCTAACGATAAGGAGGATGAGAAAGGTAATATTAATAATAACTATGTACTGGGATTTGGAAAAGAGCTGTGTATTGATGGCTGGAAACAAGGTATCTACCTATCTATCTATCTATCTAACTATTTATTTGTTTGCTTGCTTGCTTATTATTATGATTATTATTATTATTATATTATTATTACGTGGTTTATTTGTTGCAAGGTTAGAATAAATTGGCTTTTTTTTTGTATGATTTTTTTATTTATTATTATTTATTAGGAAGTGAGGCAAGGTTCATAAATGACTATAGAAGCATTGCCGCTAAGCCGAATTCCGCTTTTAACGAATTTATCGATGCACGCACGGGCGAATTGAAAATGGGTGTTTGGGTAATGCCGGGGATCGGAAAAATCAAGAAAGGAAATGAAATTTTGGCAAGTATTTGGCAATTCATTACAATTTATTATGCACCGAATCGAATTAAATTTTTTTTTGTTGTCGATTCTTAGGTTAGTTACGGAAAAGGATTTTGGCGAAACCGAGGTTTATTAAATGAATTTGATTAAATTCATCGATAAATAAATGAATCGAATTAATAAATAGCTAAACGAATTGAAATAAATAGCTGACTGAATAAAAGTTAAATAAAATTATAAAAAAAAACGATAATTAATCCTAGATAATCTAACCTTTTATAGCATTTAATCATTGCCAAAAATTAATTGAACATATTGATTATTCATGAACAATAATACAGGGAAATATAATTTTTATCTAATCAAATTATGCAAGAATCCACTAGCAAAAAAATTGATCAATCTGATCATCAATAATATCAAGAACAAAAACCACCTTCACACCTAACTCAAACAGGATTCAGATGACAAACAAAGGAAATTCGCTACACTTTCAACTCGAAAAAATTATGCTCTTTCAAACGAGATCAAAAAGGACCCATAAGAACAAGCGGGAAAAATGATTATGAAAGAAAAGTTGAATTTTTTGCTGTTGCAAGGTCTTTTGGACAGATGTTGATCAAGGATTGCATATGTTTTTTTGTAAAACTCTCGACGATTTCCGAATCGATGTACAGTGATCGCATCTTTAGCTCGACAATTCCTCTGGCAGAGATCACAGCGGTGATTTCGGATGTCGGAGATAAGCATTTTCAAGAAATTGTCTTGTGCATTACTTTCCTAAAGATTAATTTACCGTAACGTTCATATTACTCAATTTCTCATTCTGTAATCTCTCTAAGATTCGGGTTTTTTAATCTTTATTATGAAGAATACTCGAAATATGTTTTGCAAATGAAAACCTTTAGATCTAGCTCACTTTAAATTGCATATTTTCCGTACATTTACTGGGGCGACAAAAACAATCCAATTATTGATCCTTAGTCACTTAAATGTACCAAAAAAAAAAAACGGATCCGTCTTCAATTCTTAGATTCCTTAAATTCATGCAGAGTTGAAGCATTCATGATTCACGAAAACATTTGAAGGTATATCGATATATAAAAATCTTGTTTGTTCCATCGATCGATACATCGGAAATAGATCTCATATGAATGCAAATCATTACTAAATTAATAAAATACTCATGATAAAAAAACTATATATATAGCTGAATTGCTGGTTTTTTATTTTTCATCCACTTCATGTTTTATCGTTATATAAATAATCGTTAATCGTTCATCTTTAAACAAGATAAAAAAAAAAGAATGATTAAATCCACCGAATCTCAATCAGAATCATTACGAGATAATCCGAAATGTACTTTCCAGGAAATAGTTCAATATCAATGTAGACTCGAAAGTAATCGAGTAGTTTGTGATCCTTTTGTCAGGATATTTAAACGGTAAGAAAATTTTAATTAACAACGGTCAGATTAATTAATCAATCTTTTGATAGACAAAAATTAATCGATTCAAAAATAATCAGATGTGTTGGTAAACCGACGATCGAAGTGACCCCAATATATGACAAGAATGGGATGCCTATTAAATCTGGGTAAATTTCGTATTCAGGTTGCAATAAAAACCCTTTGTTTTGAATATTATTGATTATATTCTTTTTTAGACCAAAGCCACCATCATCCACAAAAATCGATGGTTTCTACGATGATGAAGACGAAGATTTTAGAGCGTTTAAAAGTCTTTTATGAATCAGAGAGAATTGTTGACGATAACACTTCAACATTATATCAAATAACGACGACGACATCATTATCATTATTATTTTCTATTATTAATATTATTAATATTATATTATTATAATTATTATTTTTAATTTCATCGTCTTTCCTATTTTGGAATTTGGTGGATTAGAGAGAAAGAAAGGAGGAGCGTAATGAATGATGAAAAGTAAATTCAATAGAGAGCGAGAGAGCGAAAGAGAAATATACTAAAATTAAGTCCCTTAAATGTTATGTATGACAAGACTATATAAAATACTGTACAGAATAAATTATTGTGAATTCCATTAGTTCAAGATAAATATTTTACAAAAAAACCCAAACACTAAAAAACGTTCATTTTTTCTCGAATTCCGCTTTATCCAACCCATCCAAATACGCCCAAAGAATATTATCAGCAGTCGGTCTTTCTTGACCATCTTCAGACGGGGTTAAGTGCTGTTGCGGGAAATATCTAGTGATCATATGAATACAACCCCAAGTACGATATTTTCCACGTCCGCCAACCATGGCGTAGTATGTGGAATATAACGCGGCCAACAACACCAAAAATCCAGTGAGAATTGAAATAAACGGAAGAGAAGTGTATTCACGTGTTGTTGGCACTTCAAAAGACCCTGGTTTGAAGTGAATGACTCCAACCGCCGTACTATTATTTCCGAATGCGTTCGAAGAGACACCAACTTCTGCACGCCAATCTACATCCCATTTTTCGGTGCCATTTAGAAACACGTGTTTTCGCCAGTAGAATGAGTATACACGTTCACGACATGCATCTAATTGGGATGTTTCGTACGGATTAAGAATTTGAAGTGACGATAGTGAGTTACTATCCGAATTGGTTCTTGTTAAGTCATACGGATTCCATATCATTAGATTCATTTTTGATATTGTTGACGCGTTGTTTAATTGGTATCTAATATAGAATGGTGATTGAAATGCTGTCCAATTTCTAGGTGGAGTAGGCGGCGTTTGTTTAAGTAACGGTGTAGTGGTTTGAAATACCTAATTTAACATGTTTAACGTATTTAATTATCAAACTTTATATGAAAAATCCATTAGTCTCATTAATACTTACATAGCAATTAGTAAACCAATTATTATAAGTCTCATCTTTTGATACGTCAACATTAGTCACAAAACCAGGGCAATCACTTGTCGTATTTCCGTAACTCGTACACTGAAATTTATACTTTACATCGTCACTACAAAGAGTGAAAGCTGGCGGCGGTAATGCCGTTGCTGTGTCGAATGTTTGTGTCGTGTAAACTAATTTCGATCGAGCCACATCAATGATCGTGTTTAGGATTAAATAAAATAGGAAAATCAGCACGAAAAACATTTGTAGTATTGTTGTTATAAGGCGTCGAACGTTGGCTGCCATTTTATAATTTGGTTTATGATTGGATTAGTATTGGTTTTTATGTAAAAAAGAGAAGCCGGCTCTCTATCTATCTATTATCCTTCTCTCGTATGGGATGGGAAGACGGATGAAATCAGGTCAAGCAGCAAAACAGTTATATTTTATAACTGCTTGCAATTGCAAAATAATAATTAAACGGGACGAAAAAAAAAAAATATCCAAATCCAAAAAGCAAAAAACCGCGGGAGCTCTTCTAATCTTTTTATATCATTAACAAACAATAATAATATGACGATGATCATTATTATACTAAAATATCCGCTTACGCACGTGCATTCATTTTTCTCCACGCGTCGCAACGTCGTCGACAAGGATCATACGCTTCATCCCTTTTTTTTCGTGCATTGGTGGATACGGACGAACAAAGGTTTATTATTTTAAAGTCGTTGTAGATCTCTTATTGTATGCGCGTGTATCTTGTGTACATTATAATGCTTGACATCCTTTTTTGCAAATCAAGAGATTCGTAGAATAGAACGTAGAATAGTAGAATACATATATGTAATTTAATTATCAAGAAATGATACACTAACAAGAAACAATTAACAATTCTCTCCTTTTTCCTTTTCTCGTTTATTTTTAGTTGACGTATAGTGAATAAAACTTTGGAGAAACCCGAATACATGAACAAATTTTTATTAATAGGCGAGATCGACAAAATAAGCGATGTGATACGATCACAAAATGCACGCGTGCGAAATAGGAATCATCAATGCGCCTTCTTTTTCGCCGCCCTTGCCTCACGCTCACGCTTTCGATCAGCGATAAAGAAATTCATAAACAATCCCAACATCGTCCACATATAGACCCACAGTAACGCGGTCAACACGAATGGATACTTTTGTTTTGCGTCCGGTGTCAATACTTTAAATAAAACCATATCGTAGGTTGCTTGGATCATCATTAGCGTGAATTGTGTCATTTGGAAGAGGGTAATGTATCGTTTGATGAATCGTATTGGGACTGAGAGTGTGGTGCTCAAGTAATAGCCGTACATCACCACGTGAACAGCTATTGACGTTATCATCATCAATGAAAATTTTGGTGGATAAACGAACTACTTGAGATAATTAACAATTACCAGAATTTAGTGCGGCACTAAAATAAGCTTCTCCATTTGGCGCGATGAAGGTGACTAACCACCAAATCACAAAGATTGAACAATGGTGATACACGTGCAGAAACGTTATCTGATGATTATTCTTTTTTAACACCATTATAAAAGTGTCCGTAAATTCTGCAATTTTCGAGACATAAAATAACCAGATATATTTTGCCATCTAAATAATTCAAATCCATTAGTAAATGCACGACGCATACACGCATATATACAAGATAAACTAAAAATTGCACGCGTATATAACAAAAAAATGCATACCTGCCATCCATTCTCACTTTTATCCTCTGGATTACCAAATAAACCATATCCTTGATTCCATGCTTCACTCAGTACTCCATAACACATGTACGCACTCAACCAGACCAAGAAAGAATTATGTATCGTACTAAGCGTTCTGGTATCAAATTTCGTCCTATTCTCCATAATTCTCTTACCAACGAAAACTACCGACAAATAGGAAAGCGTGATAAGCAATACATGAAACGGGTTCATGAGTGGCAACCGTTTGGAAAACGGTGACTCATTTTCCGCGAGAAAATTCTTGACATATTGACTTGTGGAGGGAAATAGAACTGTTAACGTAGATACAAGTATATTTTCTAGTGGGTTGACTAATGGCTCGGTAAGGTAGCCGATAATTTGCCCTGCTGTTATATAATGGTCGACTGGTGGTGTAAATATGCCGGTTTTATTTAAAGCCATTATTTAATATTTTGTTAATTTTTTTTTCGAATTACATTTATACTGGATTCATGCAGATCCCGCATCTTTTGGGGTGTCATCACATGGCTTTGTTCGCTATTTCAAATGGGGCTACATTCAAGGTTCATTCATTATAAAGAGCTTTGAGCTAACTTTATGGTGCAAATGAATAAGAAGGACGCTTATCGTCATGTGAACCATCTCGGATTGGCTGGATTTGCTGGTTTCTATCAAAAATTTCGTTTAACAAATTCTGTTAAATAAAGTAAATTTCGAGTTATTTGCAATTTTTCGCATATCAACGGATTTGCATAATGAATTACTATAAAAACCCATCTTCAATTTCATCGGCTAAAATCGGTGATCAATGACTATATTATATTAGCCAATGAAAATGAAGATGGGTTTTCATAGTAAATTACGATTAATAAAGTTAACACAAAAATAAGCTATCTTGTGCTCTATCCTTGCGAAATTTTACTATTTCAGCTCCCGAATAAATACGGAAAACAGATGTCTAAATCTGGCTTGGCACACTAATAAAAAATGTCGAGAAGGCAGTTTTACATATAATCTCGATTATAGCTTTAGCTCTAAACCTAACCCTAACCTTTAAATTAACCTTTAACAATAACCTCTATTACATGATCCGACACTTTTTTCGCATCGTTAACGTCATCGACAAATTATCACGTGTCACGATCACCAAAATTCTGTCCAGATCGGGTGTATAATATAAGGTTGGGATAGAGATTCATGTAATTTTTTTTTCACACCAGCCTTTTTTAGAATGAGGCCAATGATATTATAAAAAATTGTACACCTCCGGATTGGATACAGTTCAGTGCGAATTTATCCTCATTATCATAAACTTTCCCCATGCCTGGACGTATGGCCCCCAGATATACCCGCGAAGAAGTGGCTAAACACAATACACCTTCTGACCTATGGGTAATTAGCAACAACAAAGTGTACGAATTGACAGAATTCGTTCTCGACCATCCTGGAGGTTCAGACTTAATTGAACAATGGGCAGGTAAAGATGTGACCAGCATAATGTCAGATCCAGACCAGCATGAGCATACGCAGATCGCATATGATGTTTTAAAAGAGTTATGTATAGGTGAAGTAGTGGTGGAGTCAACTTCAAACGGCTTTACTAGGACAAGCACGTTTGAAGAGTCAGCCAGCCAAGTAACTACTGAAGCCCTGAACCAAGTGATGTCGAATAATAATAGTTATCAGACGACGATTGTCGAAGAAGCTAACGGACAAGCAGGCACACTCTTGTCAAATGAAAAATTAGTGATCGACGAGACATTTAAGCCATCAGAAACCAACATCAACACAGACTTACAACAAGAACATTTTCTCGACCTCAATAAACCATTATTCTATCAAATGTTCCATTGTAATTACTCGAAGGAATTCTACCTCAAACAAATACACAAACCACGTTTTCTTCCATATTCTGCACGATTGTTTGGACATCCTCATTTGGAAATGTTGACGAAAACTCCTTGGTATGTGATTCCGGCTTTATGGCTCCCCGCCACCTATTATCATATATACATGGCATCAGAAACTTTAGGCAACAAGAGCATTACAGTGTTATTTATTATCGGGATTTTTCTTTGGACTTTGATCGAGTATACGTTGCATCGATTCATCTTTCATATTGATCAATTATTACCCGATCACCCGTACGCTCTTTCGGTACATTTTGCTTTGCATGGTATACATCATTATTTGCCAATGGACAGGTATTAATAAGCGCGAGAAAAATCATTCTGTTTTTTCCAGAATCTAAGCAAATATTTTTATTTCTTTAAGATTGCGCCTAGTAATGCCACCAGTTCTCGGGATGTCCATCGCAACTCCTATCGTACGTCTAGGATACATGATATTTCCTGAATACATAGCACACGGAATAATCGCTGGAGCATTCTTTGGGTACATTTGCTACGATTTGACCCATTATCATCTTCATCATGCTCGCCCGTTTGGCCATCATTTGCGAGAAATGAAATCGTATCACCTGAATCATCATTACAAAAATTATGAATCTGGGTATGGAATCACAAGCAAGATTTGGGATCGTGTATTTGGCACCGAAATTCAGCTTGGCCCATGAATCATCAACTTAAAAAAATTATCCTTGTATTTTTTCTTTTTAATATTTTAATATATATATAAAAACAATTTTGTAATGTAACAGTAATACAAGTCATGCTCGATTTAGCAATCATGCGATTTGACGATGACTAACGCTAATTAAAATATCGTTAAATCATGATGCTATTTACTTCCTGTGAATGGGGAGTCCTGACTATAACCAGTATTAAAAAAAAAAGATCAAATAAATCATTGTTCTTTGAACTTTGCATAAATCACACCACCACACTAACACCCATATGATAATTTTTCAGATAGGACTTGATTGGACAAGCGAGAGACAATCCAAAAACATTTAATTATCAAGGCTCTGCTGTGTTTGTGTTTGACATACAGTTCCAGATTACCAAAACCGAAATCCTAACGCATCCTTTTCTAACCTTTGTTGTGTGTTAAATTGACCCGCCTGGTAGGTTTTTTGTCTCCCAGAGAGGTAAACGAGTAATACACACACACATACATACATAAATATATATATATCACACTCTTTATAAAGAAGGGATAAAATAATTTTTTTTTGATTCACCTTGTGCCTAATCTCGACCATCTACTTCTAGTTTCAAGTTAGTTCAATATTTATTTTTTTTCAAATACGAATCCTTGTTTTAGAATTTGCTTACTCCGTGCTCTTAACGTTTCGTAGCTTGATTCGTTGCTGTCATGTTTAACTTTGTTATATATAGAAAACTCTTATTAACCACAAGAATTTCAATACTTTTACCAACATATTAGTTTCAACCCTATTAATAAAATTTCAGGATATTCTTCTATGGCTACCAAAGCAGCATACAAACGACTAACGAAAGAATATATCGCATTTCAAAAGGTAGGTAGTTTGATATAATCGATCATTCGATAACTGTTAAATTAAACTTATTCATTCTCTTTTTTTTCAAAAAGAATCCACCTCCATATTTGATTGCAAAGCCCTTAGACAGTAACATACTCGAATGGTAAGCTCATTCGGATTGTTTATGCGAGTTCAAATCTTGAGTTTTGATTGTTACGCTTCTTCTTACTGTTATTTCTTCATAATGACTATAGGCACTATGTGATTCGTGGACCTCCAGATACTCCTTATCACAATGGCGAATATCATGGTAGTAATAATCTTCTGTGATAATTATGCAAAGATAAAATCAAACAACCAATGCTTATAATTTGCTGGATGATTCTTGTTTACGTTAATCCTTAGGAGTCTTAACATTCCCATCAGAATATCCTTATAAACCACCAGCTATCCGAATGACAACGCCATCAGGTACATTCCAGATCAAGGTTCACTTTTCAGTCCAATAATAATTTCATGGTTTTTAACTCGCTGTATGTCAAATTTAGGTCGATTTCAACCAGATGCTCGATTGTGTTTGTCAATGTCGGATTTTCACCCTAGCACGTGGAACCCTGGGTGGAGTGTTTCGACAATATTAAATGGATTATTAAGCTTTATGGTAAGAGTAAAAAAATGTAACATGATTTTTAATTACAGGAAATCTTTTATTCATAATTTATTTAATTTATGATAAAATAGTGTAGTAATGAGGCTACAACAGGCAGTATCAAGACAACTGATGCCGATAAAAAAATATACGCTGGACGATCACATCATTATAACTTAAATGATCCAAAGTTTAAAGGTTCGGCAAGTTTTATAACAAGATCAAATTATTCATTCTTGAAAAATCATAAATAAATATTCTATGCTTGATATTCATATAGAGATCTTTCCCGACCTATGCATAGCGGAAGCTGTTCCTGTTGAAATTCTCTTCCCTCTTTATCAATCATCTTCAAACACTTCACCCACTTCTAACACCATCAAATCACCCAAAGTAAATTCGAGATTAGATGCATCGAAACCGAATCAACCAATCGCCTCTCCCACGATTCAACGAAAGGAAGCCGCCCAACAACGTGCCAATTCATTAGGAAATAAAGGTGGTGAAAATCCTTCAGTCCCAGCCGCAGATGCAACCAGAAACATCGCAAATAATCCTATAAATATACAACAACACAATAATAATAATAATAATAATAATAACAACGGACAGCAACGTATTTTTGATCAATGGCGTAAGTGGGTGATATTTTTGCTCTTATGCCTTTATCTGGTTGTCACGAAATTGCTAGCTAGAAGTTCTGAAGCTGTTTCAGGGAGCGCCGCTGGTGATGCAGGCGGCATTTAAAAGCTTACCTATGTACAAACATATCATCACGAGGTAGAGTTCATCATCAAAGAAATTATAAAATTTGTTTATTTATTATAGATGATCATAAGAACATTTCACATTCATGTGCCTTCACTCTTGATCTTTTAGTTTTTCCGAATACTTTATCATCATTTCTTAATAGTTGATTAGTGTCAACTCTTGCTCTTTATACATATAATATACATTTATACATGCATATATATAGTAGGGAACAATCGAAGCAAAACACTGTAGATCTATTTTTTGAAAAAAAAACTAAAACTCATATATTTTTTGTGCGAATATAATGTAACGGTAACAAGTATATAGTATATAATATATTTTCCTGCATTAGCATCTCCGAATATGGTCCGAGTATATCCGCTGTATGGTGGTATTATTTGTATTACCGTCTGATAATTTCTTCTTATGGATAATAAGAATGTGTGCATGTAAAGCTTTGAAACAACAATAACGATTGGATACATAAAAATGGTTATATGTATGTACCCAGAATAATAAAAAAATAAATTGAATAGCTGTCGCAGGTTTCAAATTCACCCGCATATATAGAGAGAGAGCGAGATACACATATATATACACATATATATACACATACACATTCCACCTTTTCGTATAGACGCAATTTAGTGTAAACTGATAGAATGTCACCTGCGACACCAAATAACCTCAAAAATAAAGAAAACCTAAAAAGTTTTGTCTTTTGCTACTATGTTTCTGGCCACGGTTAGTTTGCAAAGCCATATCTTTCTTATTGCACAGAGGAGTGTAAAGATGAAGTGTATTTTAACCATATACTTCTTAATAATAAATAAGGGTTTGGACACGCAACGCGAGTTGTACAAGTAGCATCAGAGATTCTTGCTCTCCCGCGTAAGCATAAATTGTACATAGTTTCAAATGCGCCTCGATTTATTTTTCAAGGCGCTATTAGTAACGGGGCTAAATACAGACATGCGCTGATTGACGCTGGCGTCAAACAACCACTAGCATATACCGTAGATAGAGATCAAACGATACACGATTTGCAAGCATTCATGTTTCGACGAAAAGAAATGTTGGATAGAGAAACGAATTGGTTACGAGAAGTTAAGGCGGATATCGTGTTATCGGATGCGCCTTTCCTACCATGGTTAGTCCTTTTTGTTCAATCTCGATTAACTCCTATTCAGTAATAATTAATAATGTAATTACCATTTTTGTTAAATCGAATTAAATAGTGCGGCAGCGGCGGCGATTGGAATCCCATCTTCGATTGTAAGCAATTTTACCTTTGATGCAGTTTATTCAGGTCTGTATCAAGATGGTGAAAAAATAGACACCAGTATTAAAAAGCTTATCAATCAAGTCATCACGGATTACAAAAAATCCGAATTATTGGTACGTTTGCCAGGTTATATACCGATACCATCATTTGCTGGCACTCAATTATATCCGGAACCTAAAATTTCGACGGTGCAATCACCTAAAAAATTGAATGGATTTTCAACGAAAAACGGAATCAAAACACTAAAAAAAGTAAATCGTCGTGTGATAGATGTTCCACTTGTTGTGAGGAAATGTAAAACACCAAGAGAAATTGTGCTCGATAATCTTGGAATCCCCAGTAATGTGTACAAGACACACAAAATTTTGCTCGTATCGTTTGGAGGACAAAACATAGAGTCAATTGATAGATGGGGTTCACTTATGCCTGAAGGCTGGATAGCTATAGCGTGTGGTAGTCAGGGTGTGGAGGGTAAAGTCTTACCGAAATGCTTTTATAAATGTCCAGTCGACGCGTATATTCCAGATCTCACTAATGCTGCTGATGTAGTAATGGGAAAATTGGTAAGAAATCGCTAGTTATCTTCTCGATATCGTTCATTGTTTGAAAATTACTTGAAATAATCGATTCAAATTTCCAAATAGGGTTATGGTACATGTTCGGAATGTATCGGTCACGCAAAACCGTTTATATATGTTCCTCGTCCTCAATTCATAGAAGAAAAGGGATTAAAGCGTCTGATGGAAACTCAAGGTTCATGCATAGAAATGCCAAAAGAAGATTTTGAATCAGGAAAATGGAAGAATTATATTCTACGTGCATACAATATGCCGGGTAAATGTCAAGATTCAAGTAAAAGATTAACTCATGATGGTGGTGAAATTGCTGCTAAAATTCTCGAACAATTTCTTGACGATCATTTGGCGATGGTCAAGATTGAAACAACGCGATCGCCGCAGGTCACAAATGTGACGGATTTGTTTGTGGGTTCTAATGGCGGTATTATGTCAATAGAATCTTTGATACAATTAAATTTTTTCTTTATCTATTGTATTTTTTTGTTACTTCCAATAATATAATAATACTACATAATATTCTAAATTAGATTGTTAATTTCTTAAAACATTCAATCTCATTATAGAAATTCAGTTAATTTTCGTGTATCATGCATGTATTACATCAAAAAATTTTAATTTAATCTTCGCGTAGTACGAAATTTTAATTTTCACTTGATTACACACGTGGCAAATAAAACTTAACTTTTTTGGCGTGAAAACAATCTCTAAAGGGTAAAACGATCATCTGCCCAATGAGCTAAAATTGTCGAATTTTTTTTTCGCATGAAAATCGACCGCCTTAATCTAACCAACAGACCGACACCATCGAGTAATTTTTATACTGAGCACACAATACACGTCTTTCTTTTCGCAATATACCTTTCTGGCTCACCATTAACGTTTTTTCAACGTTTGTTTGCCCTCTTGTCAAATATTTTCGTCATGGCTACCGCTATCGAAACGAACAATAATAATGCTATTGATGGACATGTTACTGATGGCCACGACCTCATTAAAAAACACCATGGGGAAATTATTTACGAGTCGAATGGTTTCGTGGCAAAGATTCACCGCAAGGATTCTCAGGTTGATTTTTACTATGTCCCTCTTAAAACTGTATCTTTCTCAAAAACTTTATCGGTCTCAAAGACTTATCTTTCATGAATTATACGTTTTTGGTGCGTATAGTTGAATCGGCGGGCGGTTAATACCTATACCGATTTATGGAAAGAGGACCGAAAGGTACTGAACCTTTTTTCTTTTCTCAAAAGTGTCTTATTAAATACGCATTAAACTTGTGGTTTGCTCGAATTACAAGACTACGTTTGAAAAAAAATGCGTTTCGTAAAAAATATAAATGTTTTCTCGTATCGAACTTTTTATTTATCAGGATTTATCCAATAAAGATGAGACCATCAAAAAAAGGCGGGAACAAGCTCAAACTATGACAAATGCATTTTATGATATTGTGACGGATTTCTACGAATATGGTAATTAACAAGAAAGATCAAGTTCGTACCTCCATACATTCACACCATGTATAGTCACTCCCTCCCTCCCTACACACCTTTGTTTCCATTACGAAACATGGGGAAATTTGACCTCCGTGCAATCACAACTCGCACTTTTTTCTGTCCCAAGATTATATGGAGATATGACTGCATTATAATCGCTCAATTTACATTTTTTATCTTTCATATATTAGGATGGGGCGAATCCTTCCATTTCGCTCGTACCTACAAAGGAGATACGTTCGAACAATCAATCAAACGTCATGAGCAATTTTTGGCTCTGAAACTCGGGTTGAACGAAAAACATCGGACTCTGGTAAGATAAACAATATGATTTAAAAGAACCAGAAGTTAATTATTAAAAATTCGATTTTATCATTCCATAGGATGTTGGCTGTGGTGTTGGCGGACCATTACGTGAAATTATTCGACTATCAGGGGCGCACGTTACTGGTCTCAATAATAATGGATATCAAATCGAACGGTGCAAAGCATACGCAAAGAAACTCGGGTTGGAAAGTAAAACTGATTATGTCAAGGTATGATTTTTTCAATAATTTGATATACACGTTTTTTTTAGTTAATGAAACAATTATCAATCAATTACCGATGAAGGGTGATTTCACCGATATGACACGTGAATTAGATGGGAAATTTGATTCTGCGTATGCGATGGAAGCATGCGTTCACTCGCCGAAACTTGAAATTGTCTATGGTGAAGTGTTTCGAACATTGAAACCTGGCGGCTTGTTCTGTACTTTCGAATGGGTCACTACACCGAAATACGATGAAAATAATCCTGAGCATAAAAAGATTATTTTTGACATCGAGGTAAATATTCATATCGATATTTGTGATTGGCTGATCGTTTCCTTTTGTTTTAATTCTACATAATATTCGATATTTAAAGCAAGGTAATTCTATCCCGTCGCTGAGCTCTCACACACAAGCTCTTGAAGCTGCCAAGAAAGTGGGTTTCGAGGTTCTTGAGCACCAGGACCATGCAATACTAGAAGATAGTAATGAGCCATGGTATAACACTTTGAAGGGCACTATATCTCTCTCCGGGTTCAGAATGACTCGTGTTGGCAGATGGTATTTAGCATAAAAATTTCAAATTAATTTTTCCCGAAAAAAATGTCAAATTAATTTTATTAATTCCACGAAATAATAGGCTTACTCATAAATTCGTGGCTTCCTTGGAATTTCTACATTTGGTCGCTCCTGGTTCAACGGATGTTGCCAGTTTCTTGAATAAAACCGCTGACGCGTTGGTTCTTGGTGGCGAAAGAGAAATTTTCACACCAATGATGTATATTCTGCTCCGAAAACCAAAAGAAACCTAATTGAATTCTTACAAAAATTTAGGGCTACTTTTATTTATTTATTTATACAAGAAAAACCCAATCGTTCTTTTTTAATTTTGGTTCCTTTTATATAGAAGATTTTAGTACCTTGTTATTTATTTATACCCACATTAAACACCGTATTAACTTAGTAAAAGTGCTAAATGAGATATTTTTCGAGTCCTTGTTTTATTTTTATCAATTATAAACAACTGCAAACTTTATTAAAAAAAGAAATTATCTTTTCTGTTTATGACAAAAAATATATTTCAATCGAAAATCCCATGTCTAAATGAAGATCTCTTTGACATCTCTAATCACGAATTTAATTTATTAATACATACACCTAATAAATTACTGAAATATCAAAAGATTTTTTAGCAAAACATAGTAAAATTGAAATTATTTCTCTATATTGAAATTTTTGATTTTAATAAATATTTTTTGAAACTTTATTTTATTGATATATATATAATATATATTTGGAATTTTTGTTTGCAAAGACATAAAATATTCTTATAATTAAAATTAATAAAATTTATATTTTAATTATAAAAATATTTTTCCAATAACTAAAAAATGTATATTAATTAGTATTCCATATAAAACCAGAAAAATTTATAATAAAAATTGAGATTAGCTTATTATATATTTTTAAGTATTCTTTATTAAAATATAATATAAAAATTATTAATGTGATTTAAGTAATCTATACTCAACAATTTGTTTCAATTTTTAAAATCTTTCAACTCAATATAGAAACAAAATTTTCAAAATTTGACTAATAACTTTATAAAGCTTATCATAAAAAACAAAGTTACTAGTAATTTTGAAAATTTTGTTTTTATATTAAGTTAAAAAATTGAAACAAATTGTTGAGTATAGATTACTTGAATTATATAATTATTGTTATAATATGAATATTTAGTTATTATTTTATTAATTATAGTTAATTATATATATAATATTATTAAATATTAGCTAGTTAAATATAACTTGTAGATATGATAAATATAGTAAGCAAATATAATAAAAAATATAACAAGCAATTATAATAAGTGAATATAATAAGTGAAAACAGTATTAGCATAACTAAAAATATTTTAAAATTATATGATAAATATTATTCAGTTTAGATTATATTTAGAATAATTTAAATTATTAAAATTTTATAGTTGAAACAAATAACAAATAAGTATTATATATAAATAGAAAAGCAAAATAGAGTAACTATAAATAAGTATAACTATAAAGGAATTTGATTATAATAAATATAGTAAAAAAATTATTTTATAATCACATCTTCTTTATAATCACCAAATTTTGCTTTTCTGAAAATAATAACTATAAAGAAATTTGATTATATTTTAAAAGCTATCTTTAAGTATAATTAATTAATATATATATAAATAATATATTTTAACTAATGAAAAAACAATATATATATACATAGATAAAGAATTAATTAAAATTAATTTTGTTTTTTTATAATAATTTTGTTATTTATAATAAATATATAATTATTTTATTTTATATTTATATTTTTGGTTTTTATATTTTATAATATAAAAATATATTAGATATTACTTATACAATATATATATCTTAGTTTTAACTACTAAATTTAATAAAAAATTTAAAATTACTATTTCTTATTCAAAAAAATAATAAATATTAAATCTAATCATAAAATAATAGAATTACTTGAGTTAAACAAAACTATACTTTCAGATTTTTTATATATATAATAATTTTTAATATAATAATTTTTAATATAATAATTTTTAATATAATAATTTTTAATATAACAATTTTTAATATGGTAATAAAAATAATTTAATTATTAAATTAAAAAGTTAATTATTCCTATATAAAATTAATATAGATAATTTTTTTATTATATATTTATTAATAAAATTATGATTAATATTTAAAATTTGATTATTTAAAAATTTTTAGTTGAAACTAAGTTATATATACTATATATTTTGTAATATATAATAATATTATTTATTATAATTTTTAACTTAGAAGATATTTAAGCAAGTTATAACTTTTTATTATAAGTTTTGACTTAAAATATTCAAACAAGTTATTAGTATTTAATAAAAAAATAAATTAATATAGTCAAATCCCTCTATAGTCACATCTATTTATAGTCATACCCTTCTATAGTCACTCTATTTTGCTTTTCCATTTACATATAAATATAGTAAAAAAACTTCTCTATAGTCATATATCCTATATAGTTATCAAATTTTGCTTTTTCAAGAGTAATAATTATAGAGAGATTTGACTGTAAATTATAATAAATACTTTATTATTTATTTTTAAATAAATATTTTATTACATAAAAATAATAATTAAAATATTATAAATTATTTAAAATATTAATTAATTAAAAATTAATCAAATTAAATTTAATATAAGCAAATAGTTAAAAAGTAAAAAGCTAACTTAATTACTTATTAACAAATTAAATTTTAAAAAAAGATTTAAATAATAATTAAAAATTAAAAGTATATATAATAGCAATAAAAAAATAGAATGCTAAAACAAATTTATTAATAAATTATAGTAAAATATATATATTAAACATGAAATATTATTTTTATTAATAAAAATAATAATAAAGTTAACTATAACAAAAAAAAAGTGCAAAACCAAATAATTTAAAGAAATTTTTTAATAAAATAATAACTTTAAAATTAGTATTAGCAAAATAGTAAAATTACTATTATGAATATATTATAATTTATTAATTAATTATATAACTTAATAAATTAATTATTATATTAGATAAATAATAAACTATATTATAAATAAAAATACTTGCTAAATTTTTAGTAATCATAAAACTTTATTAAAATTATAATAAATTATTAGTAAATAAAATATTAAAACTTTATCAAATTTTGAAATTCTAATTAATAATTAATATATAATTTATCAAAATTCTATTAAGATATTTTTGAAGAAGTTTTAGCAAGTATTTTTAATTATAAGTATCAAAAGAAAATATTTTGTTAAAATTACTAATTTTTATAAAATATTCAAGATTTAATTGAATAATTACAAGATTTTAAAAATTTATATTAAGTAAATAATATAATTAATTTAAAAAAATAACAAAAAATTAGAGCATATTTGAAAAATATTATTATTATATAATTAATAAATCAAAATTTTACTCTTAAAAATAACTGATCAATATAATAAAATTTTACTAAATCTAATAATAATAAGAATAAAACTATTTTTTTACTTATTAATTTAAAACTATTTTTTTACTTATTAATTTAAAAATTTATTTAAAATTATTAATAAAATTTATAAATAATAATAATAATAATAATAATAATAATAATAATAATAATAATAATAATAATAATAATAATAATAATAATAAT